CTGGCCGTCAGCCAGAGACAAATGTGGGATCCATGGCATGCGTGGCATGCAGAGTTAGAACGGGAAGAGCTCTGAAAGGCATGGGGGACTCTAACAGGAAGTTACACTGAAGCCGAGGCCTCTGACTCCACACAGGGATTAGGCTGGAGTGGCGGGGAGGGGAGGGGAGGGAAGCAGTCCTGGGGGCTGCAGTGCAAAGACAGGGCGGGTGCGGGGAGACGGTGGCAGGCTCCGATTTGACTCGTGCAGGGTTCTGGACAGGAGGCAGGAGCAAGGCCTGGGGAGGGAGACCCAGGCAAAGGCTACCCGGGGTCCTGGGGAGGAACGAGGAGAGTCCGAGCCAGGGTGGGAGCAGGCCTGGTTCGGGCATGTGGAGGGCTGCAGAGACACACGCGGCCCTCGGACGGATTCCTGGGTGTTGTGGGCCTGGCAGGCAAGCGGTGTGACAGTCGCAGGGAAGGGTGGATGAAGCAGGCTCTAGCGGAGTCAGTGAAGAAAAGTTCTTAGCCTGGAGCTGGAGGGGCAACTGTCTTGGTGTCTGCCTGGCAGGAGCCTCTTCCTGCCAGAACTCAGACTTGCACTGCAAAAGCAGAGGTCAGGGCCTCAAGACCAGGCCTCCACTTCATCCCTCTTCTGTCTCTGGGACAGCAGCACACAGAGCTTCATTATCTGGCTCCTTACTCCACCGGGACAGTCACTGGGTGAAGGTCCCCCGTCTGCCTCGCCACCTCCCTCTAAAGTCACTTCTTTACAGTGGTCAGTTCCTGCTTTGCTCCCAGTGCCCTTGCCGTGGCCGGCTCAGACTTTCGGATGAAGCCAGACAGGTGACTTGGAGGGATTTTCTTGTTTGAGGGACTCCACCCCCGGCATTCAAACAGCCTGTGCCAGGCAGGGCAGCAGCAGCTGGGACTTCGTGTGGCATTCGGCTCGCCGCCTTCCAGACAGCACAGTGTTTATCTCCCCGTGCCAGGCCAGTGTCCCATTCTTCATCTCGAGGAGCCAGGAGCCAAGCAGTCCTGAGCTGCGTCTGTGCAGGGATGGGGGAGGCTCGGGCCAGCCCAAGACGGGACATCAACGACCGGCCCTGCGGGTGGCAGAAGACCACGAGGGTCTCGGTGGCCAGAGGCCAGGTCTGACCAGGGCCCCCCTGCCCGGCTCCTCTCCACAGCTATCCTGGCTCCTTCCCCAGACAACAGCCAGCCCCACTCCGGCTGGGAGAGCAGCAGCTGGTGCAGCCCTGCAGTCTAGGGGACCTCCGGCTTCCGCTTCGGGGCCAGCATCACAGCCACCACGGCCCCTCCTGCAGAGAGATCTTCAGAGGCCACGTTTGGCACCCAGAACCAGTTCCCGACAAAGTACCACATGCGGGGGTCTGTCCGCTGGGGCCTGATCTGGCGGTCGCAGCGCCCAATTGGGAGTTTTCATGCGGCACATAACTTCGGAAGACTTTTCCTGCTTGATCATTTCTACTGCACCCTTCCACCGAGCTGCTTTTTAGAAATCACTGAGTTGGGATGGCTAGGAGAGGAAGCGTGCGCCCTGAGGCATGAGGGTACCAGCAAATCCGGGGAAATTTCAGAATTCCCGGTATGTCTCCGGAAGTTCTGACTTGTCCGAAGCCTGCCCTCTGTGAGGTTTAACCAAGGGCCTGGTGATTTATTCTCCCAGTCACCTCACAAATATTTATGGAGGACCTGTGACAGATGAAGCGTCTCGCTTAGTGCCAAGAGCTTTCGGTCTTCTGCTCACATGTCTGCTTTGTGTCCTCCGGCTCCTCCCAGGAGGGGAATGAAGGTCTGTTAGGGTGCAGATGATGTTTCCACAGGCTCTACTTCCCTGGCACCTCCTCCTCACCCCCCAAGCTGTGGGCCAACCCCATGTCTCATGGCCTTTGCTCTCAGAGCCACAAGGGAGCTCCGCCCCAGTCAGCAAGCAGCTCGTCCTCGAGCAGCTCACAAGGGCCCGGGCTTTGGGAATTTTCCCAAGTACCCTGGTGACGCCAGGGGCCACTGAAGGTTTCTGGGTAGGGACAGACGCATCAAGAGAAGGGGGTTTGGGGGCAACCAGTGCACCACACACATCACCTCCCCGGAAGCGTGCTCAGCTCGCTTTGCCTTTCCAGAAAGAGAGTCCCATTAGCCAAAGAGTACACCAGGTGGTGTCTCTGCTAGCACCCCCTAAGGTGGGGGCCCAGGAGCATGGGAAGAGGAGGGAGAGCTACAAGAAGGCCAGCAGCCTCATATTCGGAGGGGCAGCAGACAAACCTCGACTCTGCCCATGCCATGGACTCTGGGTCTTGAGACAGAAGACCATGATGGAAACTAGAGGGGTTTGCTCTGCAGCGTTTGGCTCTAAGCCTTCCAGATGTTAGGAGGCGGCAGGAAGGCGGGTGGAGTTGGAAGGGATCTGGAGGGAGTGTGTGTGTCCTCCGGGGGCGGGGGGGGGGGCTCCCCTCCCTATGCCATCACCCTGGCTCAGGAATTTCTCAGCTCTGCCCAGGATCATCACTGCTGCCTCTTGGGGCCTCCCATGTCCAGGCATTGTGCACACGGCATTCTGACACCTCCCCACAGCCCTCGGAGGCCCTCACAGCCCCCAGGCTTCGCCCACATCCTATTGCTGCCCAGTCTTCCAGCACAGGACACAATGCAGGTGGACTGGCAAGTCCGACAGGTCTGGGCACAGCACCCGTGTCCTCCACTTACAGCTCCACAGCCTCTCACCCCTCGGTTTCCTCATCCGTGAAGTGGGCTGGCTGGTCCCTGCACCCTCATCAAGTAGATACAGTGCATGTACCTACACAGTGTCTGGCACATAGTTGGCCAGGAATGGTAACCCTTGTGCCCCAAACCTGCATCTCACCCGGAACCCAGAGCTCTCTCTGCCCGCCTGGCCCGGCTCTGCCAGTTGGGACCCTGCCCTTCAGGTCCAGCTCGGATAGCACTGGCTGTGTGGCTCATCCAGCTTGCAGCTACATCCTGCTGCCCTTTGGGCGTATTTACATCTCCTTTGTGACTCTCACCGTGTTCTTCTCTGAATTGCTGTTATATCGGACATTCTCATCTCCCCCGCCAGAGGGCTGCTCCCCAAGGCCAGGAGACAGACTCTCGTGCCCCTTCTGTATCCCCTCCTGCTTTAGACACAGATCATCACGTAATGTGGTCATTAGCTGGTGCTGGCCCCATTCTGACAGCCATCGCTAACGAGGCAGCCGTGCTCACACCCGAGAGCCAGGAGGCCTATTCACCGGCCCAGATCTCAGGATGGCTCGTGTAGGGCCATAGCCAGAGTGGCTGGGCCTGGACCCTCAAGGCCCCCTTTGCCCCAGGGCCCTGGTCTCGGTCACCTGTTCTGTGCCGTTCACTCCGGCTCTCCAGCAGTGCCGACAAGCAGCTTCTCCCCTCTATGCCTGGTGAGGGAAAGGTCATCCTGGCACCCACAGATGGGCAGGGAGAAGTAAGCTACGCAGAGGCAGGAGGGGAAGCCTGGGCCAGGAGAATTCAGGTGACCTCCAATGTTACCCTGGGAGGTGGTCCTGGAGCGTCTCAGGTGGCCCCCAAACACAAGGTGGCTGGACGAGGTGCAGGACACTGGAGTTAGGGACACACGGTGCCCCTCCGGGACAGTGCAGCCCTGAGCAGCCCTGCACATCTCCCCTCCTCCCGGCACCTCCGTGCCAGCTTCCTCCTCCTCCTCCTCTTGTTTTCTCTTAAACCCTCACATCATCAAAGCAGGCCATCTGCCCAGGTCACGGAGCCTGCAGATTGGCCCCTTCATTTTCCGTGTCGCGTGTGTTGATCAGGTTTCCCTGCGGAGATGATTCAGTTGGAGGCCTGATGTTGGCTTCCTCCCACCCCACAGGATTCGAACTGCTTCCGCAGCTACCAGCAAGTGGCCACGGCAGACATGCCCGCCAGTGCAGTTGGCCGTCATCCGCTCGCCCCTGTGAAAGCAGCTTCTCTGACTTCCCGTGTTCGGCTCACTACTGGAGGGGCTGCCCTGCTGGCTCCTGGCACGCAGCAGCTCCCCAGTTCCTTTCATGGATCCTTCCACTGCATATGCTTTCTCTCCCGAATGTCAGATTCCCTGCTTCTCCCCAAAGATGCCAAAATCTGGAGTGATAACACCAGTCTTTGAAAGAACAGCCTCTCCCCTAACTGGTCTTACTATTAATGCCCACAGGCCAACACTTGTGCATGGAAGTCACGTGGGTGCTCTGGGTGACGATCCAGCTCTGTTCCAGGCTGGCTCACCTCCCAGGTGCCCAGTTCGCAGGGGGTACCATCAGCCGACGTGGCCCCGCTGCTCATAAATGCAGGAGCCTGTGACAGGCCTCTGTCTGCCCGATGCAGACACGTCATTGCCAGTGTGATCATTCAAAGGCCAGGTGGGATCCGGGCCCGGGGAGTTGCCAGAAAGCAAGAGGGGGTCGGGCATGCAGAGAGGCATACGGGAGCAGGGCCTCTTGCTCCCTACCCGGCAGCACCCACCTCTGCAGCCTGAACTTAAGGCACTCAGAGCCACAGATCCCTGTCCCATCCTGGAGCGCCTGCCACCCGGGCTGGAGGCAGAGCATGCTTTTCCCAAAAGTCAACAGTAGTACGGGGGTAGTATCAGTCTGGCCAAACATACGGCGTGAGCTCGTGTGTGCAATTTGCAGAAGAGGTGCCAGCAGAGAGAAGAGAGGGAACTTCCTGCCCGCTGGGGGTGTCCTAAAGCTGGATCGAAGTACTGGCACTAAAACTCATCCAAGGGGAACTCATGACCGGTAGATGTGGGGGAGGCCAGCAGGATCTTGACGACAGACACGGGGGCCTCGCTGCTCAGGGTGCCCAGCCCCCCCCAGGAGAGACCCCGCTCTAGGCCCTACGTGGACACAGTCACTGAGCCAGTCTCGCAAAAAGCCGGGAAGCATCCGGTGGGCAATGGGGAGCTCATCTCCGGAGGCCGCCGCCAGGTCCCCCTGCGCGGTAGCCTCTTCCGCAGCCCCTGGGTCTCACCTGGTGGGGGCCACTTGGGGCGCAGACTGGCTCCCGAACCGGGGCAGGGTTCTGGAGAAGGTTCCGGCCCGGTCTGGGCTTCATGTTGGCCCCAAGGAGGCGCCAGCCTGGCTTTCACAGCGGCAGCCATGATGGGATCACTGCTAGTGACTCAGGCTCTGATGCAGTTGGGTGGGGCCCGGGAGGCTGCAGTTTGCACACACTGCCGCAGTCACGGCCCTGCAGGGCTCAGCCAGTGGGGGACAGGCCCTGGGCACTGCGGGCCCACCAGGCACCTCGGCTGTTCCCTCCTGCCCTGCGTGGGAGCAGGATCGGCTTGTGCTGAGCCCCGACTGAGGGGGGGTGGGAGGTGGGCTCTGTGTGCGGTGCAGGTTTTACAGGTGTTATTTCCATGGTGGTATCTGCTGCTCTCATTGGATCTGAAAATGTGTGTGCATTTTTCCTGAGCGGGACTGAAATGTCAGGGTCGTAGCCTTCCCCATGGGCAGGGCCCTTTGGGGCCCTCCTGCCCCCTCCACCCAGGCAGCGTCCCAACCGCTGAGTCTCCAGGACTGGCTGCTCAGTGACAGGAGGCCTTGGTCCCTAGAAATACCTGCTCTTCATACCCAAAGGTTCGTCCTTGTTATCAACACCACTTACAGTTCTTCCCATGGACCAGTCAGGTCCCTCTCCGCCAGACATGGTCTGCACCCTGGGGAGCCCCACACTCAGAGCCGCGGCTCTTCTTTGGACTTCTTTGATTTTCCCTTTTCCCTTTTGGCCTCTTGTCATCCTTTTATCCATTTGTGCCGGTTCCAAGACTGTGAGCCTTGAAGAGAAAGGACATGGGGAATGATCGTCTGCTACCTGAGGGACCTGAGCCCAGAGCTCCCAGGCGGGGGGGAAGGGAGACTGGTAGGGGCCCAGCATGGCTTCCTGTGTGCCCGGGTGCAAGGACAGCCTGGTAAATCCAGCCCCACACGTAGTGCCTGAGGATGAGGGCTCTGGGGAGACAGGGAGGCGCCACTCATGCCCCCCACCCGCCCCCAGCAGCCTGCAGGGTCTGCTCGTGCTCCTCCCGTTAAGGAAAGGATGTGGTTTCTGCCTGGGAGACCTGTCCCTGTCTGCCCCGCGCCATGTCCTCCTGCACTGAGCGGGCCATCGGTCCTGGGGCCCCGGAAGGTGTGGTTTTGAGCACCTACGCTTCATCTCCCTCCCAGTTCACCAGAAGAGTCTTGTCTCACGTCGGGCAGTGAACTCATTTCCCTCTCTGGCAACCACTGAATTTGAGAACGTCCTGTTTTACCATCATCAAAAGAAGTGAAACTGCCCCATGAAATAAAGTGGAATACCCCATAAATGCCTAGGGAGCAACCAGGGTCTTTCCTTAAGAGTGCAGGGTCCCCTAGAGGATGGCACGGGGCCCGAGCCGCTGCAGGTGGCAGACAGTCACCAGGCAGGCCCTGCACCAGCCCTGCCTCCTTCCTGTCCCCCCACTGCAGCGGCCTCACAGCTCACCTGCACCCCAGGCCCCTCCTGACTCCCAAGCTCAGCCAAGTAGGAACCCCCGACCCACTGGGGAAGTGGCCCTGTCTCCTCTGGACCCTGTTGCGGGGGCGGGCACAAAGCGATGGACTGGGTCATTCCCATGTCCATTCAGCCGCAGGACCTCCTCCCCACCACAGACCTGCTCATTTCCCAGAGGTGCCTGGGGAGAATGTATTTTGGGGAAGTGCCGGCCCCAGGGTTCCCAGGATTCCTTTCCAAAGAGGCAGGAATTCAGTGGGGGAAAGGGAGGTGTACGATCCCCAAGCAAAGAGGCTCTGATGAACCTCTTCCCACTCCTGGAGCTGAACCATGGCATCACTGTATGGGTGTGGGCACCTTGGCCCTGAGAGAGGACATCACTCAGCTGCGGTTGGCCCCAGGCAGGTCTCTGGGGATGGTGGGCACTCGAGGGGTAGGCATGGCCAGGGAAGGCTTCCAGCAGGAGGCGCCACCCTCCCACCCCGCCCTGGGATCCAAGGAGGGTGTGGGTGTGGAAGCAGGGTCTCACTTGGCCACCCATCTTGCCGTCAGCTGTGTCCCTGGGAAGCCGTCATGGATGTGCTGACCCCTTCACTGGCTCCCCCCGGCAGTGGACGTGGCTGGAAGGCATAGTTGGGCCTCCTCCTTGTCTGAGGCTCACACTGTTTTCCCTCCTGTCCCCCAGCTGGTCAGTGAGAAGGTCGGAGGGGCCGAAGGGACCAAGCTTGATGAAGACTTCAAAGAGATGGAGAAGGTACCAGGAGAGGTGGTGCGGCCCGCCTGATGCCCGGCGCCGTTTACCCTCACGGGCCATAGCAGCCCTACAGCTGGGCCACGGCGGGGGGGCTCACGGATGGACGGGTCCCCCGGCCCTGGGAGGCAGGGAGGCCAGCAGCCCTGAGCGCAGCATGCCGTTCTTGTGTGGGCTCTGAGGCAGGTGGGGCCGGGGAGCAGGGCACGGGCTGTCCAGGGATGCCAGGTTTGGCCTCCGGCACCCCGATGGTTGCAAAAGCCCACACCCTGCCTCTCTTGACAGAAGGTGGATGTTACCAGCAAGGCTGTGACAGAAGTGCTGGCCAGAACCATTGAGTACCTGCAGCCCAACCCAGGTAGGGGTGCCAGCCAGCTAGGAGGGGTCCGTGTCAGCCAGGAATCGGCTGGTTACCGGAGCCTAAGAAGGAATGTGTGAGCTCAGAGAACTGAAGTGCCCAGGAGTAGGCAGGCGGGTTTCATGGGTGGCTGGATCCAAGGGTCCAAAGGATGTCCTCAGAGTCCTGCATTTCCTTTCCACTTTATCAGGCAGCTCTCGTTCTGTGTGGCAACCCTAGTCCGAAATCACCCTTACAGCTAATAGCCCCAGCTGAAAAGAGCATCTTTTCCACCTCACCAACTCACTGGACCAGTTTGAATTGGTTGCCCACCCGTTTGCCAGGCCCACCTTTGGAGCATGAGGCGGGAGTCTCCTAGTCTGAGAGAGAGATGAGGACCTTTCCCTGAGGAAAATCCAAATCTGGGTTCCCATAGAAGGAGGTGATTGATGTGGGACCGGCAGCAACACCAGCCAGGTCCATTCGCGGCCCGGGCCAGGGACAGACCCGAGGGGCAGAGGCAAGCGCACAGCTCCTCCCCCACGCCCGGTGGGGGGCTATGTCTGGGGCACCTGGACCTGTACACACCTATACCTGCTCCCCTACTTCTCTGGGGTGCTACTCCCCAGGCCAGGGAAGGGAGCTTCTGTGATCGGAGCTGTGCTCTAGAACGAGGAGACCCCGTGGGGTCCGGAGGAACCAGTCACCTGCCCATTGCCAGTGTTCCTCTGTGGCCGAGGTGAGCAGAGGAGGGAAGTCTATGCTTGAGGTTCTCCTCGGAGCCTGGCCATCAGCAGGCATAGGAACCAAGCTTCCTTGGGTCAGGGCAGCGCTTTAAAAATAAGGGTGTTGGGGAGAGGGAGGCAGCCAGCAGCACTGGCCAAGTGCAGGCCTGGTTCTCGAGAGAGACTGGCCGCATGCCTACCCAGCCTGTTCTCTTCCAGCTTCACGGGCCAAGCTGACGATGCTCAACACGGTGTCCAAGATCCGAGGGCAGGTGAAGAACCCTGGCTACCCACAGTCAGAGGGCCTGCTGGGCGAATGCATGATCCGCCACGGGAAGGAGCTGGGCGGCGAGTCCAACTTCGGTGAGGGCTCTGGAGGGCCAGAGCGTCTGGCACTGGACGGTGGGATGCCACTTCCCTGCCACTGCTCCAGAGTCTTCTACCGTGCCCGTTAATCCCCTGGGCGAGGGTGACTGAGGCTCCCAAGAACACCTTTCCTTCCTCAGTGGTGGTGAGCAAGCATCGGAGTGTTGCCTGTAGGGCCAAGGCCACTGGAAAGCCTACCCTCGAGCCACAGCTAATGCGGGGGAAGCCGTGGGGTGGGGGGCGTGGGAGGTTTGACACCCGTCATCGCCAACTCCTCCCAGCTGCTGGGGCTCAGACTTCAGGGACCCTTGTTTTGTCCTGAATTCTGGCGTCTGGGCCCTGGGGTGAGGGCAGGTTAGCAGTTGGGGGTATCTTGGGCCCCGAGGCCCTGGCCTCCTATGACAGCTTCTCTCCCAATCCCTGCCCTGCTGCAGGGGATGCCCTGCTGGACGCAGGGGAGTCCATGAAGCGCCTGGCAGAGGTGAAGGATTCTCTGGACATAGAGGTCAAGCAGAACTTCATCGACCCCCTACAGAACTTGTGTGACAAAGACCTGAAGGAGATCCAGGTGCTGCGCACCCCATGCCCCATCCAGCGTGCCCACCCTCACACAGCCCCCAGGGCAGGTGCCTCACAAGCCTGCTCCCCCACCTCTCCGCCCCGCCCAGTGTGCCCGTCCTCCTGCAGACCCCAGCATGTACCTCACAGCTCTGATGCCCTTCCCCCCCTCCCCAGCACCACCTGAAGAAGCTGGAGGGCCGCCGCCTGGACTTCGACTACAAGAAGAAGCGACAGGGCAGGATCCCCGACGAAGAGCTGCGCCAGGCCCTGGAGAAGTTTGAGGAGTCCAAGGAGGTGGCCGAGACCAGCATGCACAACCTCCTGGAGACCGATGTGCGTCCGCCCCCCCCCCCCAAAAAAGCGGGGTGGTGGGCAGAGTCACTAATGCCCTGCCCATAGCGGGCTCAGCCCCTGCTCTGAGCCTGAAGGGGCAGCTGCAGGACCCGAGGGGCCTCTACCCGCCCCCAAAGCTTTCGGGTCTCCTCCAGCAGCGCAGGGGTCAGGCAGATGGGGAGGGGGCCAGCCCCTGTCCCGGGAGCATTCTAGCAAGACTTCCTAAAAGAGGGGGCCTTGGGGGTAGGGGTCACAGGGAGGGCCGCCCCTTCAGCAGGCTGCTCACTTGCAGATCGAGCAGGTGAGCCAGCTCTCCGCACTGGTGGATGCCCAGCTGGACTACCACCGGCAGGCCGTGCAGATCCTGGACGAGCTGGCCGACAAGCTCAAGCGAAGGTGAGCCCCAGCCCCTGGCCTTCCCTGTGGGAGCCTGTCCTGTTTTGGGCTGGGCTGGGGTGCCCTGGAAGCCCAGAGTTACTCCCGTGGATTCCTGGGCGGCCGTTCAGGGCTTCCAAGACCCCACCGCCAGCCTCCTCGACAGCCCAGCCCTGCTTGGAGCCTGTGTCAGAGCAGGGGGCTGGCTTCTTTTCATAAGGAATCCCCATACTGCACTCGTAGGGTGGGGGCTCCGGGAGGGAGCAAGACCTCATCAGGCTTGCCGCAGTTGTCAGAGGGGAGGGTTGGAGTGACCTGAGGCTGGGAGGCCAGAAGAAAGAGGCCTTTCAGAGCTCTGGGCCTGAGGGGGTGGGTTACCCAGGGCCGGGGCGGACGGGGCTCCCCTCTGAGAGCTGTCACTAGTCTAGGGCCTGAGAAGGACAGCCTTGGGCAGCCGTGTCCCCAGGTCAGGTGGGCATGCTAAGGGGGCTGCAGGGTTTGGCAGGAACTGGCCAGTTGGCAGCTTCTAAGAAGGGCCTGAGCTGGGGGAGCTGACCAACTGGGAGGCCCTTTGGTTAGACCCATTGGGCCTCTGAGTCCAGGCCTGGTCTCAGGGGTCCCTCCCCCCACCCCAAGTCCTGGACAGCAGCATCAACGGTGGGGAGGGAGGTGTCCCTTCACCTTGGCACACACAGGACTCAGGCCCTGCTGGCTGCTCACAGCTCTCCCTCCCTGCCTGCAGGATGCGGGAAGCCTCCTCTCGTCCCAAGCGGGAATACAAGCCCAAGCCTCGGGAGTCCTTCGAACTTGGGGAGCCTGAGCAGTCCAATGGGGGCTTCCCCTGTGCCACGGCCCCCAAGATCACACGTAAGGAGGGGGAAGGAGTCGCCCCCAGCTCTGTCCAAACTGCGGAGCCAGGCCCACCCCACTCCCTCTGGGGAAGGGGCCCAGCCCAAGGTTCTCAGCCCCACTTTCTGCTTTGTCTGCGAGCAGCTTCGTCATCTTTCCGGTCTTCCGACAAGCCCATCCGGACCCCTAGCAGGAGCATGCGTGAGTGTCCCTGCGGGCACAGGCCCTGCCCTCACAAGCTCCCCACCTCAGTGTGTAACACTGCCTTCTGGTCTGTTCAGAAGGACCCTTCTCTGGTAGACGCGGACGCCCCTGGGATTGGTCCTCTTGGCCCATCTCGGGCAGGGGAGGAGCTAGGCACTGGGCCTGCACAGCACAGCACGGCCTCTCTGGGCCTCCCCATCCGCGTGAGGGTCTCCCGTGAACACCAAGGGTGTCCCAACAGCCTCTAGGCTCTCCAAGTGGCCGCCTGAGGGCTTCTGGTCATTCTCTCACCCTGATGCCACTGGGCGTCCCCAGCTCTTCCCAGGAGCACGTTTGGAGTCCGTTTATGTCCCTCTTTCCCTTGACCCTCTTTTCTGACAAGGCTGGGGGGCAGCAGAGGAAGCGGCAGCTGTCCCTCAGGGGCCACGACCAGGCTGGGGCGGGCGGGGTGGGAGGGAGCCAGGGGTCTGAGCCGAGCCCCTGCCCCCAGCACCCCTGGACCAGCCGAGCTGCAAAGCGCTGTACGACTTCGAGCCTGAGAACGCCGGGGAGCTGGGCTTCCACGAGGGCGACGTCATCACGCTGACCAACCAGATCGATGAGAACTGGTACGAGGGCATGCTCCACGGCCAGTCGGGCTTCTTCCCCCTCAGCTACGTGGAGGTGCTGGTGCCCCTGCCGCAGTGAGGGCGTCGGCCCGGTCCACACGGCCTGCATCCCACCTGCGTCTGTGGCGGCACTCCTGGGGCTGGGGGTGGGGTGGGGAGGCAGGCCCCCCCCTCGGGGGGCAGCAGGGGCGGGGGAGGCGGGGACCGCTGACGGTAGCGCTCACCCCCAGCGCCCTCTCCACGCAGCAGTCTGGGCCGGGGCTGCTCCCTGACTGCATCTCCCCAGCCCCGCGCCCCAAGGGGGCGAACACTAAGGTGCTCTTAGAAACACTAACTTCCTCCCGCCCGTCCAGGAACGGGTAACTCCAGGTGGGCCCCCTCACTCACACACGCACACATGTGCGTGCACACACACCCTGTCCTGTCCCTCCTTCGTCCCCTCTATTCTGGGGTGGCCCCCACCCCCCAGGAGACCTGCCCTTAACAGGATGAGCTGGAACATCTGTGCCGCTGGGTGTTCTGAGCAGGACCTGCGGCCAAGACTCACCACCCCTGCTTTTAAATTACCCCACAGCACTCCTTCCCAGCCCCAACTCCAGGCCTCCCCAGGCCCCGGCACACCCGGGATGCCACCTCCCTGGGGAGACACAATCCTGGGGTCCTCAGGGTTCCCCTAAAGACCGGCCCTTCCCTGAGCAGCCTTGGAGCGGCTGTCCTCTCCCTCCCGCAGGGCACTCAGCCCTGCACGCCGGTGCCCTCCCCCCGTCCTGCACCCTCTCCTCAGTTCCCCGTGTAGGGTGCCCCACCCCAGACAAGCACACAGACGTTTTTCTCGGGCACGAGCTGCCACCACCAGCTGTGCACGCAGCACACCCGTGTGCCCCTGCAGACGGGACCACAGGAGTCTTGCAGCCTCTGCTCTGCTGAAGGTCAAGTACACAGGCTTTGAGGCATCTTCCCAGAGCCCTGGCTGCTGGGACTACCCTCGAGAGAGGGTCACAGGCGCCTCCCCCTCCTGAGCCGGCCACTGTGCCCGCAGCTGACAGTGGCCCCAAGCAGGCAGCTGCCCTGACCAGCAGGGCCCAGCCCTGCATCCACTTGCTCTCTTGCCTCGTCCAAAAATTGGCTCAACTGGGGGACTTCGGGACTGGATCACATTCCCCCCTCCTCTGATGACTCAGCAAAGCCCTAGGGACGCCAGGCTCTGCTCCTGCCTGAGCCTCCCCCCCGCCATTGCCATTCCGGGGGGGAGGCACCGACCTCCCAGCAAAGAATGAGCAGCGTAGCCTTGGTCACAATCAAGGGCAGATCAAAATGTAATCCTGATTTTTTTAAAAAAAAGTATTAAAGGTCTCTTTCTAGAGCCTCTCGCTTGGTTGTGGTGGGGGTGGGTCTTCCCCCAGCTCCCCTGGACCCTCACGGCTCCCCCGAGGCGTCCCCTGTCAGGGCAGGGCCACTCCCGGGGAGGGTACCTGCCCCCCCAGGAGCCAGGGAGGGCGAGCTGTCCCCTGCCCAGCCCCGGCCCCGGGAAGCCCACACCACGGCTGCACGAAAAGCGTCCCCTCGTGCACGGGCCAAGGTGCCACGCTGCCCAGACAGCCGCCCATGTGCCCAGCGATGAGTGCGGGGACGGCGAGGCAGCCCCAGGTGAGACACACGCCCAGGCTATTCGCTTCTCCCCTTTATTATCTGTGCCACAAACAAAGCCCCCAGACCCATTCCCCCTGAGCCGGAACCACTGGGGGTTCAGAGTCTGACCAGAGGCCCTCGGAGGTGGTGGTGCCTCAGCTCCCTTGTTTAAGGAGGCCGTAGACCTGCTCCAGGACGTGGCACAGGCCCTGGTCCTTGGGTGTCCTGCTGGCCAGGGAGATCTGAAACGGGCAGGGCTGGCGCCTCAGGGCTGGGCCCAGTGGTCCTGCCCGCCCCTCCCGTCCTGGTAGAGGGGCTCTACTAACCGAGGTACACAGTAGTGTCCCGAAAACGTTTTATTTTTAAAGGAGGCGGCCCCCCCTTGCAGTGTTCTGGGTTTTGGCGGGGGGAAGGGGGTGCTCTCTGCACATTCCACATCCTGCTCTCTCCCCAGCTGCCTCCCTGCCAGGCTCTCACACCCCCTGCGTGGGGAGCCACCCCCGACCCCACCCGCCCAGTGACGGGGTGGAGGGGACCCGTGGCAGCTTGAAGTTCTGGTCACTGTAAGTTTGAACAAAACAAGCATGCAAAACTGCATTTCTCTAGCTAGTAGAGTTGAAAATGCCTTCTGAGAAGGACTTCCATGTCAGAAGTAAGTCAGAAACCGCCCCCCCCCAGGCCACCAAGCCCTTATGTGTCCCCCTAAATGACTGTAGGGCCGGCGAGCTGGAGAAACCCCTCAGGGTACCAGCTGCGCTCGGACTGCAGCCCCCTGTGCGCTCTCGCGGGCGCCCAAGCGGAGAGACGGCCCCAGCGTAGCTTCTCCCCAGCCCAGGGTCCGCGGGCCTTTACGCTTGCAGCTGCATTTCAGTAGTGCTCCTGGTCACTGTCACCACCCACACGTGGCCGAACAAGCTTTCATATCCAGCTGAAGTACTTTATACAGAACAATTTAGGACAGCACCGTTTCTCAGGCTGCCCCTGGATAGATCCTTCGGGGCTCCCCAAGAACTGTCTTGCTCTGCAGGAGACGGGGCATGAGTCTTACCTTCAGCTTGTCGAGGTACGTGTGCTCCTGGCTCCAGGGCTCCTGGAACCTCACGAGGTCCGGGGCGCCCTTGTAGAACTCCACCAGCAACATCTGGAGGACGGGGGACCGATGGGACCCCTGGCGCCCGCCCTCCTGCGCAGGCGCTCGGGACACAGCAGCGAGCACCACGGGCGCCTACCGCCGCCTCTCGGGGGGCTCCCAGTCCTATACAGCACACAGGCGCTACCCAGGACCCCAGGACAGACCATCCGGGAGCGCCACCAGAGGGAAATAAGGGAGCTTCGCAGGAGGGCCCTGGAAGGGGGAGACATAAGGGGCACCCCCTCCCCCGGCAGAGGGAAGCACCAGTGATTCTGACTGTCCCCACAGACCTGCCCCCGCCCCCTTGTGTAGCCTCCTCCCACGCAACAGCGGATCCGCAATTCCACAGGTGTGATCTACTAGCTGTTTTTAAAACGGTTGTTGGAATGTGGGCACTGAAAACATTCATCTGGGCACCACCTGAAATCCCTCACATGTCTTCAATCAGTGGCAGGTGCAGAGGCGCGAGGCCGCGGCACCTCCAGCAAGTTCCAGAACAGCAAGGAGGCCAGGTTGCCGGGGAGGGTGGCGGGGGGCAGGTGGGCAAGAATCTGGGACTTGAGTTTCGGCCGCGGAAGAGGAGTCTGGCCCCTGCTCCGATGAGTCCTGCAGTATCGCTCCGTCCAGCGGGGGCCCCGCCCTCCCCACCCGGAAGTGAGCTCACCATCTCATGCAGGATGTCATTAGTCAGAAAGTTGTCCTGGACGTAGGCCATCTCCACGTCCATGGGGATGCCGTAGTCACTGGGCCTTTGCTGGCAGGGACACAAGCCAGTCACCACCAGCCACCTCCAGCGCCCCATCCCATGAGGGATGTGCCCTGGGCCAGCAATGGGAGAATCGAGACTGCGACCAGCTTCAGGGCCACGTGGCCCTGCCCCCCGCACGAGAGGTCGGGAATAGCTCTCCAAACCCCATTTCCGACCCCAAGACAGGTTCGGGAAGGAGGCCGTCTTAGTAACAGGGGCAGCATGCTCCGTGTGGAGCGCACACCTTTTCAACGTCCCTCACGGCCCAGGCCTTCACCAGAACCTCAGAGAGTGCAGTGGTTCTGTTCCCATTTCACAGGAGATACCGAGGCCCCAGCCCCCTCCCGGCCGCGCCTCCCCCAGCAGCCCCGCCTACCTCGGGCGGCGGCATCACCCAGAAGGGTGAGATCTTGGACTCGGGGCCCGGATTGCCAGAGTAGTAAGGGGCTGCAGGAGGAGAGTGAGAGTGGCGGCTGGGCCCGGGGGGGTCAGCGGCCCAGGAGGGCCACGCGCACGCGCACGCGCGCCGGGCAGCCGGACTTACAGCAGAGCAGCGCGAGGCAGGGCTGGAAGCCGTTGCTGGAGCCCTGCAGGCGCAGCTGGTAGTCCATCTGCGAGTCGATGTCCTGCAGCGATGGCAGCGCGGGGCTGTGCGGGTGGCTGTGGTACCAGCCCACCAGGGACAGGCCCCGCAGGAGCAGGCTCTGGTAGATCTGGGGGGCACAGGCGAGGCTGGGGCCGGGCGGCGCAGGCCGGGGGCCCTACCAGCCCGTGTGTGCGCACACCTGCCGCGTTCCGTCCCCATGTGAGGCCAGCACTGAGTATGTGCCTGCTGTGTACCAGGCCCGGGGACGCAGCGGTGGCCAGGACCCTGCCCCCACCCTCCATGAGGCCAGTGGAGGGGGCACAGTCAACAAATACATTAAAAAAAAGACGCACCTGTCACCACAGCAAAGGCAGAAGTTTACTGGGGGCCCTGCGGTGTCCCTAGCTCATGGAATAATTCCTGGCACACAGTAGGCACTCAAATAGTTAAGTGAGGAGCTAGGTGGGTGTGTGCGCACTTGCGCAGGACAGGCATTTCCGGATGCCTGAAGCAAGTAGGGGCGAGCGGGGCCTACGGCGCAAGAGCCGGCTGGGCCGGGAGAAGGCGGGTGTGGAACGCTTGGCACAGCGCCGGGCACACGCAAGGCCGCACCGGGCAAGCACTGCTAGAGTGGCAGCTGATATTCGTGGGGCTGTCACTGCACGCCGGGCCCGGCATGCAGACGGGGCTTCAGAGGCAAAGGGGGCGGGCCACCTGTGCCCAGAGGAAGGATGTCCACGGGGTCACAGCCACGGGGCGGGCACTCACACACACACACATTTGCACACTTGTTGAACTAGGACACCGTGCTAGCCACCAGGACACGGTAGCCAGGACAGCTGTGTCCACCCCCGCCCTCCCCAGAACACCTTGACCCCACGTGTCCCCTCACCTCCTCTTCCATGGTGGCGGCCATATCCGCATCCCCCAGCCGGCTCCGACAGGGGAAGGCTCTCAGCACCGTGAGCACTGCGCAGAGGTGGGGAGAAGGTGTAGACATCATCCCCGGCCCCAAGCACCCCCCTGCCCACCTGGCCCCAAATACCCACTCTGGCTGTTGATGTCCCAGCGGCCCCCCAGGTACCCCACGACCTCGCTGCGAGTCAGGTGGCTGTGGAAGTCCTGGGGAGGGGATGGACATCAGAAGAGCGGTCAGGCTGCGGCCCAGCCCCAAATGTCTATCTGCAGGGCCAGAGCCCTTGCTATGTGCAGGGACCACCCCACCCACCTCCTAGGTTCAAACCTTGAGTGCCTACTGTTTACCAGCAGTGACAGGCAGACAAGGTCCCTGCCCTCATAGAGCTAACATTCCAGGGACCCCTCCCAGGTGCCCCAGCCACCTGCCCAGGCCTGGCCTTGGCCCACAAGGGACAAGGTGGCAATGGGGCACGCACCAGCAGGAATAGCACGTTGCTGGAGATGGCCACGTTGAACGGCTGGAACTTGTTGATGGCAGCGAAGGATGTTACTTCCACCAGTGTGTGGGGGTTCCTGCTGGAGCCAGAGGGTCCCACGGCTTCAGGAGCTAGCTCCCCAGGCCTCCGGAGCCAGCTCTGAGCACGGGAGGCCTTGTGCCCACCCTACTCCTGCTCGGGCTGCCCCCACTCCCGCGGAGCGAGTGCACACGGCGGGGGGGGGCGGGGGGACAGGGGTTGGTGGCGGCGGGCACACGGTGTGTCTGACCTGGCAGAGTCGCGACTGCCCAACATGCAGTAACGCACAGGCACCCGGATCTTGTTTTCCACCCGCTTCCCGGGGGGCACGGCCTCTGTGCGTGTGGCGTAACGGAAAAAAGACAGCATCAATCCCTCCCAGCCCAGAACCGGAAAACAAAAGCCCAGGCGGCCCAAGAAAGAAAAGCCTCCAGAGGCAGCTTGAAAAATCAGGCCGCAGAACCAAGAGATCAAGGTGGCGAGTTAACAAATCGGAAAAAGGAGATTAAAATGCCAGATGAAGGGGGGCTTAGGAAATCAGGTGAGGACCTCAGGAAACCAGGCAGGGGGCCAAAGGAATCTGGCAATGAGGCAAAGAAGTCCTTTAGGGGAGCATGGAAATCAGGCAGCACGGGAAAGAAATTAGGCAGCGGGGCTAGGCAGTCAGCCAGGCATCTTGGGAGCGCTGAGAAAAGGAAAGGCCAGATCTGTCCCCTGCCACCTCCCTCACCTTACTTGTGCCCGCCTCCTGCGCGGCCTCCTCCCCTCCCCTAAGCCTCTCACCTGCGTGGGCAGGCTCCAAGGGTCCCTTCGCAGGTGGTCTCCGACTCTTGTCCTCGGTGGAGACCCCTGCCAGAACGTCCTCCTCTTCTTCCTCCATCAACAGCTCCTCCTCCTCCCCTTCACTGGCCGGGCTCTGGTGGGGAGGGGGCGGGGGTGGGGGACGGCCGCAGCACCCTCAGCTGGGTGCCGCCCACCCTCCTCACCACGGTCCACCCAGACCTTTGGCAGGCCTGAGCCTTAGGTTCCTGCCATTGCCCCAGATGCCCACTAGAGGGAGGGAGGGAGCAGAGGCGGCCTACGGTTCTGCCGCAACTCCCGTCTGAGCGCCTTGCAGAAAATCCAAACCTGGCCTCTGCCTTTTACAAGCTGTGTGGCTTCCCGCAAGCGCCCTAACCTCCCTGAGCTCTATTCTCCTCATCTGTAAAACCACACAATGACCTTCACCTGCATAAGGACAACATCGGGGTGAAATAAGATAATGCCTGCAAAGCAATTAGCATGCCTCCTGCTGAATTCACTCATTGGGCAAGCCGGTGCTTACAGGGATTATTTTATCAGAGTCTCTCAATAATCCCTCCTCCTGACCTCCCCTTAACTGCCTGTGCTGGGGTGACTTCCCAGTGTCCAAATCCAACAGTCACATAGTCTCTGTCCTCCTCCCCCTCGCCGCGGTGTCTCACTGACCCTCCTTCTCCTGGGAACTCCTCAGGGACCTCACACCCCTCCCACCTCTCTGGCCCCTCAGTCTCTCACCCCTCCTCCCCCATGCCCAGGCTCGGTCCTAGGGCCTCTTCCCTCCCTACCTGCTCCCCTCCTGGGCAGCCTCGTCCACTCTCCCCCCTTGTCTATGGCAAGATGACACCCACAGTCCTGTCTCCAGCCGGGCCCTCCCCTGAGCTCCAGACTCGGGGGTCCAGCTCCAGACTTGGAGGTCTCTTTGTGGGGGGCTCCCGGGCGTCTCACACTCAGCTGGGTGACACTGCACCAGACTGTCCCCCACACCTGCTCCTCCCCAATCCCCATATCTCTGAGGATGGCAGCTCCAGCCATCCTCAGAACAAAACATCCCTTAGCAGTTAACCAACATCTCATGCAGCCGCAGATCCCGTGAGATCCACTTTCAAAATTAGCCAAAACCTGCCCACTTCTTCCCCCATCCATTGTTGGGCTGGCCCACCCCATCATCTCCCACCTGGACCAGTTCAGCCTCCTATATTGGTCCCCAGCTCCCACCCTCGCCCTGCCTCCCAGTCTGTACTGCATACAGCGGCCACCAGAGGGCGCCTGTGGGCACCTGAGTCAGGTCTGTCCATCCTCTGCCCCTAGCCTTCCAGGGCTCCCACCCACCTCGGGGTAAAAGCCCAAGTCCTCCCTGCCTGTTCCCAGCCTGCCAGCCGCCCTACAGATTTCAGACCTGCCAGCCAGATATACATATCTGATACATACGGGTACTGTGGTCATCTTTATTTTACATACGAAGACGACTTAGGACCCAGAGAGGGTCTTTGGTTGGTAAGTCCAGCCAGCTGGTGAATACTCAAAGATCTATTATTATCGTAGCATTCGAAACTCAACCAGGAGCTCCAGTAGCGCAATCGGTTAGCGCGCGGTACTTATACGAAACTCAACCAGATCTGGTCCCTGCCAATGTCCCCAGTCCCCTCAGCTACCCAAGACACGTGAGCCTCCAGCTGTATCCGCTAATCATGGCCCCCCCAAGTGCTGTGTTGCTTTCTGCCAACGTGGCTTGGCTGTGCCGTTCCCGCCCTCTGAAAATTCTCTTCACCTTGCTCTGACAAACTCCTGCTCATCCCACAGGGCCCTAGCTCCAACGCCCTCACTCTGGGCACTCCTTATCCAACAGCGCGTCCGGGAGAGCTTGCTCCGAGGCTGAAGGACGCACCTCATCAGCAGCAGCGGTGGGAATGTGGAGCTGGTGTCGCCGGAGCCAGGCTGCCTTGTACTTGTCCAGTTTCTGGCCCTTGTACTTGACAGAGGCCCAGCCACAGCCGGACTTCTTGGCTGGGTTCACCAGCTTTTTGCAGTGGGTGGCCCAGGCGCTGGGTGAGTTGAACACCTGCCCCGTTTCCTGCCACACGATCCTCCCGTCGGGCTGCAGGTCCCCCATGAACTTCTTCCCCTGCAGTTAACAGTGGCCTGGCTGGGCCCCGGGGACCTGGGACCCACCAAGGCCCCTCCAGGAAGTCCTCCCTGACCGCCTGCTGCTCCCCAGGGCTTGGCACCCACTTCCGCCTACAGCATCCCTCCCAGGAAGCCTTCCAAGGCTTAAGTGCCTCCCAGCAACTGTGTGTCCATTATCACAGTCCTCATCAGCCTGGGCTGAAAGTGCCCAGCTCTGTGTCTCCACCCCTCACTGGACTGTGAGCCCCCAAAGGGCAGGGACGGGGTCTGCTCGATCCCTAACACACAGCGCACAGTCAGGCGCGTAGCAAGCGCTCCGCTCATAAACTGCTCCCACTCCCAGACCTACAGCAACAGCAGCAAGCCCGTAAAGCACTCACGGTAGAGCAGGCACCCTGCTGGGCGCTGTATTCATTTAATCCTCACACAAGTCCGTGAGGGGGAAAAAAAAAATGCCATTTTATACATGAGGAAACCAGGATATGGAGAGGCTGAGCAAGGTCCCACAGCCGGGAAAGCGGTGGTGTCCTCTTCTGAGCTCAGTTTCTCCTTTGTGCAATGGGGTGTTTGGTAAACGAAGTCCTCCTGCCCAGAGGGGCTCCTGCTGGGTCTGGATGCTCGGTTTCAGCTTTCCCTCCACACACCCGGGCTCGGCCGGCGGCCAGGGAGCTCTGGGCCTCAGTTTCCCCTTCCAGCCTCAGCCGGGATGGGATGGGGGTAGGGGCGCTCACCAGGTAGTAGATGGACAGCACCCCGGCGCCCGGCTCCAACAGCGCGTCTTTGAGGAGCACCCTCAGCGTG